GCGCCAACTACCGCGGAATTAGCCTTCTAAGCATAGGTTACAAGGTCTTATCGAGCGTATTGTGCGAAAGACTGAAGCCCACCGTCAACGAGCTGATTGGACCTTATCAGTGTGGCTTTAGGCCTGGAAAATCCACCATAGATCAGGTATTCACAATACGCCAAATCTTGGAAAAGACCCGCGAGAATAGGATCGACACACACCATCTATTTGTCGATTTCAAAGCCGCTTTCGACAGCACGAAGAGAAGTTGCCTTTATGCCGCGATGTCTGAATTTGGTATCCCCGCGAAACTAATACGGCTGTGTAAAATGACGTTGAGCAATACCACCAGCTCCGTCAGAATAGGGAAGGACCTCTCCGAGCCGTTTGATACCAAACGAGGTTTCAGACAAGGGGACTCCCTTTCGTGTGATTTCTTTAATCTTATGTTGGAGAAGATAATAAGAGCCGCAGAACTGAACCGCTCAGGCACAATACTTTATAAGAGCGTACAATTGCTGGCGTATGCCGACGACATCGATATTATCGGTAAAAACAAGGGCTACGTCTGTTCTGCCTTCTCGGGATTGGATAGAGAAGCAAAGCGAATGGGTCTGGTGGTGAACGAGGACAAAACGAAGTATCTCCTGTCAGCACACAAACAGTCAGAGCATACGCGTCTTGGCACCCACGTCACTGTTGACAGTTACAAGTTTGAAAAAGTAGACGACTTCGTTTATTTGGGAACCAGCATTAACACCAATAATAATGTCAGCCTTGAAATCCAACGGAGAATCACTCTTGCCAACAAGTGCTACTTTGGGCTGAGTAGGCAATTGAGAAGTAAAGTCCTCTCTCGTCGTACAAAGATCACACTCTATAAGTCACTCATCATGCCTGTGCTGGTGTATGGCGCGGAAGCATGGACAATGAAAGCATCTGATGAGGCGGCTCTTGGAGTTTTCGAGAGAAAGATTCTGCGAAAGATTTACGGACCTTTACGCGTTGGTGATGGCGAATATCGCAGACGATTTAACGAGCTATATGAGCTTTACAACGATATAGACATAGTGCAGCGAATTAAAATTCAGCGGCTCCGCTGGCTTGGCCATGTCGTTCGGATGGACAGAAACGCTCCTGCTCTGAAAATATTCAACGCGGGCCGCGATGCTGGTAACAGAGGAAGAGGAAGGCCTCCTCTGCGTTGGAAAGACCAGGTGGAGAAGGACTTGGCTTCACTTGGCATTTTCAATTGGCGTCAGTTAGCACAGAAGAGAAATGACTGGGGTGCTGTTTTGGACTCGGCCAAAATCGCTTAGGCGGTTACAGCGCCAAATAAGAAGAAGAAGAATAAAAAAGTTTTACCTTAGCACTTACAAGTTATTTTTCCTTTTAATCACCTTTATATTTGTAGTTATTAACCACTTCCATTAACACTTAAATGCATACCTTTTTATTTTGGTATTTATGGATTTTTTCAAAGCCTAAGTACATTTTTGCTTACGAATTGTTCGGGCCAGCAAAGCAACAACCCTATTACTATCGCACCTGAAAGACTTGTCACGAAAATAGCACCCAAGTAAAAGTGGAAGTATTCCAACAAATCGATTGAATTGGTATACAGTTATTCATATGGTCATTTCATATTCTAGCAATTTGTTATACGAAAAGTTTGTACGAGTACGCTTAACCTTTGCACATATACCTAAGTGAATCAATCTTCAGCTAGTTAGGAAAATAAAGGGCACGAAGGATTCCTGGAAGGAGAATTTCCTGAGGTCCTGAAGAACTTTGAAAAATCTTGTCTACAACAATATTTTGTCTTTGACTTTTTTATTTTTGAAAAATGGTATAACGGTTATTTTGGGTCCCTGATAATTCTAAGTAAGTTTGCCAAAAAAACCATGGGTCAAAAATCAATTTGGAGTTTGTTAAATTGGGAAAAGGGGTTTATTTTACTTAGCTTTATTTGCACAGAAAAGAGGGGGAAAATACCTTTCCTCTGATACCTCATAAGACTAAATTGGAATAGCTTAGGCCCAGTTATTCAAGTTTTTCTAATACCAATCTTTAAAAAAAGTTACAAAAGACGAAAATCTCATTACGATTCCGTTTAAAAGATTTTTTAATATTTTTATGCAAATTTTTTAAGCCTAAACTGTTTTGTCATCTGAGAGGATTTTTTTTTTCAAAAAGTTCTTTAAGAACCTGTTTTTATGCATAGGAACTCCATTTTTGGAGGTACATACTTTCAAATAGGCAAAGCTCACGTAAATCTTAATATTTTTGGGAAATATTTTAATGGACGTCTTCAAATATAATGAATTTTGTAAACCCGGCAGAAACCCGCACCTTTGTTGGTGATGCAGTCTAAGTAGGTAGTCCAAAAATGCATGTGAAAAAGTAAAGTCGGAATTTTAATGCCGCCACCCCCTAGGATTGAAAATGAAAAAATAGGGGTATATTTTTTCGGTATAGAACAATCCTAGGGTTGGCGAATGTACATACATACCTACATACATATGTATTGATCAGAGCTGTAAAATGATTGCATCAGTAGGATCTGCATTCACTCCGCATTCGTTTTAAAATTTTGATTTTTTGATTGTATAAACAAACCTCATTCCTGAGTGGCTTAAATTATTTTGAAACAAAAACAAACGTAATGCATTATTGAATGGTAGAGTTCCATTCAGTATAGAATGAGAATGTGCCAGAAGCACTCATAATCATCGCGATTGAAAATTTTGGTTGAATGAAAACACTTTTGATCATTCAATAGTACACTGAAAAAATATGCCTCGAAACTAGAGAAAATCTTTATAATAGAAAATAGTCGTTTTGCTTCTGCTTTCCCCCCACAGCTACAATTTGGTAAAGCATTACCTATGACCAAAAGTACGTAACAGCATTAGATATTCAGTCCATGCTTTTAAAAGCCAACTGCATATCGGTAAAGGAAACTTGCTATTGCAATTTTTTATTTGTACAAAGCGAAATTTTTATGTCCCAATACCAGGCCCTCATACATATGAAGTAGCAAAAATTTGTTTGTAGAACTGTTTAATTTGTTTTTTTTTTTGTAGAAGCTTTTGAACTTTACAAAGTAAACGAATTCGAGATGAACTCGAGAAAAAAAGTTCCTCAAATATATTTTTGGGCTCGTTTCTAATTCGAGGCGAGCTCGAGTAAATCAGTTTTCTCGAAAGATTTTTTTTATTGCATCGTCTCCGAGGCACAATCAAGAAAATAGTTTTTTTTCCAAAATATTTTTGTTGGGAAAGTATAACAAATACAATTCCATTACATTTTATTTTAATAAGCCGGCTTTATTTAATGCAGCAACGGAACAAAGTAAATATTTGCATTTAAAGTGATTTGTAAAATCTTGGTTATTTCGTGAAATGGGTATTTACATATAGTGGTGCTAATTAATGTTAAATTATTTG